CAGGTCTAATTTGTTCAGGTTTGTTTTGGGATGAAAAGAGGGGTATGTCAAAACCCACAGCCTATAAATCTGATTATTTTAATCGTTTCAACTCTATTTTTGGGATAGGGAACATGAGCAAGTCTTATAACATTTTAGTTTGGGAACTAGGGAGTTTCAAACTTGAGAGGATATAAAATGAGCAAATCTATGAATCAGGAATTATGAATACGCATCAAAATAAAACATCTCCAGGCACATTTATTCCTAAACACAATTATTTACATATCACACTCAGAAACGAACAAAAAAACAAAGACAGGGGAAAGGAATTAAGGTGTCAAATACAGAAGTCAGTGGAAATAACTGACCAGAGAAACAGAGTAATAAAGATTAAGCTAAAGAAATTAATAGACACAAACTATTTAAATAGATAAAAGTACAACTTAGATATCTACGCAATCATAAAAATTAAGGTTTTATGCAAGCAATCAACAAAACTTCATTAATAAACATTTTAACTAGTAGTATTTACACCAATCACTTTTCTTTTGGCTAGCACAATTCTACATGTTTTAAAATTGGATCTCAAGAGACAACTGAGACAAAAAAGCCATTCTAATTTAGAAGTTTCAGAACCATTCCTGAGAGCAATATAGATGAAAATAATGTCATATATACATATATATATATGTATTGAAGTCTTGGGAAATGCATGTTCTTACAAGAATAGTTGCCTTCAGGGAACATTATTTATAAAATGGTATATCCCATGTTTTGCACTAACAAGCTAGACACATTTTGCAGTTAAAGAATAATTTTTGTTATAAAGTGTGTTGCATAGTTGACATTTCTTTTTATTGGGATATAGAGGAAATAGAACATTCATGAATGTCAGTTTTGTCCATAGAGGAATCAAAGGATTTTGTTTTGTTTTCCATAAAGAAGATATTTTGTAATCTTGCTTTTTAAATGTCACGCTGTTTTTCTATAGAAATATTTACTATTCTATACTGCATCAGAAGCAAATCATAAAGACCCTTTATGGTGACCTTGAGAAATCGGTCATCTGTTTTTTATACCAGTCAGGCTTTTCCTAGAAACTATTGAATACCTGTGGGTATTGTGTAAAACAAATCTTGCCAAAAACTTTTGTAATTTTTTTCTTTGTTCTTCTCCTATTCTTTTCCTTCATTTTTTCTTCTCCTTTCTTCTCCTCAATCTCTTCTCTTCTGCATTCATATTTTTTTTGAAAAATTATATTTTAGAGCTGGAGCAATAGCACAGCAGTAGGGCATTTGCCTTGCATGCGGCCAGCCCGGCTGACTCTCAGTAGCTTGCCCCTCTCGGAGAGCCTGGCAAGCTACCAAGAGTATCTTGCCTGCCTGGCAAAGCCTGGCAAGCTCCCCGTAATGTGTTCAATATGCCAAACACAGTAACAACAAGTCTCACAATGGAGATATTTTGGGCCCTCTCCAGCAAATCGATGAGCAACGGGAGGACAGTGCTACAGTGCTATATTTTTTGCAAAAGTGCCGATTTATTAATAAGGCATGTGCTGATAATATAATTTTAGCAAAGTCACATTTCCTAGTTGATGTCACTAGTCTCAGCAACAATTGTTTGGCAGATACACATTAACGTAATTGGTGGAGGTTAGCCCTCTTAAGAAAAAAATGTAATAAAATGTAAAAATAAAATGGCTATGGAAGAGTGTGCATGAATTCTTTAGCATAGTTCTCAGCAAAAAAAAAAAGAATTCTGGATGAAAGTTGGTTTTCATTGCTTTGTTGATCTAAACCACAATTCCTCAATGATTTGGATTTATGTTTTCAAAGAGAAGATTCTAAAATTAGATTGGCACTGTATTCCCATTGTTCATCGATTTGTTCAAGCAGGCACCAGTAATGTCTCCATTGTGAGACTTGTTACTGTTTGGGGCTAGAGCGGTAGCACAGCAGGTATGGCGTTGCCTTGCAAGATGCCGACCAGGGTTCGATTGTTCTGTCCCTCTCAGAGAGCCCGGCAAGCTACCGAGAGTATCCCATCTACGCAGCAAAGCCTTGCAAGCACCCTGTGGCATATTCAGTATGCCAAAAACAGTAACAACAAAATTAGGGTAAGTAAGAGAATTACATAAGACTGAATTTTAGGGCTACAAAATTCAGTGTTTCAGAATTCCACTTACTCCACTATTTCCAGTGTAAAAATTGAGGTTATTGACTAATAATAGAATTGACTTACATTTTTTAAAAGCTCTATTTAAAATTCAACTTTATGGATTGAGGAGTGTAGGTGCTAATGATGTCTTGCATGTGCAGTATTATGCAGTAATATGTATCCTAATTTTTATATATCGTGGCTTGAGTCCCAATATTGCCCCTTGGCCAAATACAATTGGTCAATCTTGATACAGAGCCAGGAATAACTCCTGAGTCACCACCAGGGATGACCCAACCCACCAAATAAAAATAAAACTTAATTTTACACAAAACTTTAAATTTGGACCTTTATTAAGTAAAAAAATAAAAGAAATTTGGAATAAATATTAATCTGCAATTTATTATATGATCCTCTTCAATCATTTTTAATGTTATATAGATATAATGTTGCATGAACTTAACTGCCCCATATTCAGTGCAATACATAATTATGCTGCAAGGTGCTTTTGGATTCATGTTTTAATCACGAAATTCTTCAGAGATTCATCCCCAAAGGCAAAAACAAATAAATTAAAGGGAACTATATATTCACACAGACTTTTATCAGTTTAGGAGGAATGAGTTTTTATTTCAAGAGGTAAGAAGCTTTCTGTTAAAGAATCTGACTAATGGATTTTCATTTATCATTTGAAAGTACTTTACTCCCTAACATATATTTTCTCACAAGCTGTAGAGATATTAGGTAGATGCAATTAAGCAATTAGTAACAACTTCGGCCATGTTACTGGTTTTATTTTTACTTATAAAAAAGTTTGCTTAATATAAGAATTGTTTATTTTCCCAAGATTTCTTGGTTAATCCTTCCAAACCATGGAAATTCATATGGTCTTTAACTCAGTTCAAACTCAGAACTCTCCAGTCATGATAACATAGTCACTATCTTTAGATATCCTGATAATTTGTATATAAGCAATGATGCAAACTAAAAATTTTTTAAAAAGCAAATATATTTACAGAAAAACTTAGTTTATGGGTGAGAATATCTCAGTTTCAAGACAGCATACTTAAGGCAAAACTCAAGGTTAGTTTCACTATCTGAAGGTTTAATTTAACCTGACTTTATATTGGCAATCTTTTTCTAACTGTTATGTGATACTTTCTTTAGCAAGATGTTATTTTGAAATTAATATTAGTTCCTTTTATGAGTTATAAACATTGTTAAAATAATGATTCATTTTCAATTGTTTCATTATTAGTCATTAATTTTGCAGTTATTACTTAAAATAGTGAAATATCAATATATACTGCTTTTAAATTCTTGATAAAGTATTAATTTGTTTAAAACTACAGTTTTAAAAATCCAATAATTTTCAGGAAATGACTTTATTAATTACTTTAGTGAAATTATTTTCTGGATTAGCATCAAGAGCCATTTCAATTAGACCTTTTGAAAAATAATCTTATTTGATAGATATCATGAAATGCATATATTAACATTCTTCTCCTTACACATACAAGTAAGACTTAAAGGTGACTCTGCATTCACCCACTGTCAGTTGCAGTAATATGTATCTTTATTTTTATATAGTAGTATTATTTTTTTCATACTGGTAAAGGACTAGACTATGAGACTTTCTAGGGTTCGGAAATCAGAACTCTGTAGCTTTTTACGTGCTCTTGTATGAGTTCAACAACCTCTTTGATTCATATTCTTCACCATAAAATAATATGAATTAACATGATTATATGATAATAAAGTAGGATACATACAAATAAATGCATGTCTGTATATCTGCCTATATAGTTTAACCATTTGATTATTATTTAGTAAGAATTTGGCAAGTGAATTTGGTAAGTGAAATTTTCTGGAGAATATTTTCTGGAGAATTTTTTTCTGGAGAATTTTCTGGAGAATTATTTTCCAGAGCCATTTTAATTAGAACTTTTGAAAAATAATATTGATAGATATTGTGAAATGTACATATTAACATTCTTCTCCTTATGCATAATAGACTTAAAGGTCTCTGCATCCACTCACTGTCTTATGCAGTTATATGTATCCTTATTTTTATATAGTATTATGCAGTAATATGTATCCTTATTTTTATATATTCTTATTTTTATATCCTTATTTTTATATATATCCTTATTTTATATAGTATTATTATTTTATATAGTATTATATATAGTATTACTTTTAGTATTATGTATATAATAATTATATAGTATTATTATTTTATTTTTATATAGTATTATTATTGTGAAATGCATATATTAACATTCTGCTCCTTATGCATACTAGTGAGTGTTATGCTAGGCATTGCTAAGGTTTTAACCAAAAAAACTTTTATTTCTGTAAATACATATATTTAACTATACATATAATTTTTATCTTGCTTGTTTTCTGTGACATCAAAGCCACATTAGTGCACATGTGAAAACTGCATAGTACTAAAAGAAATAAAGATGATTGAAGGTTTTCCGGAGTTTCTGTTTAAATATTTTTTTAAATAGGGTCAGAGAAATAGTATAGTGGTTAAGGCATTTGCCTTGCAAGTGCGTGACCCGGATTTGATCCCTAACACCACATATGGACCCAGAGAACCCCTGGGAATGATTCTTGAGGACAGAGATAGGAGTAGTGCTCAAACACTGCAAGGAATGTCAAAAAATTAAGAAAAAAAATTAATTGACTCATTCTTGCATGTAAATGTGTTTATATTTTAATGAAAATATTCTTGAAAATCTTTGTTTCTGATAAATTCTTATATTTATTAATGAAAGTGAAATTATTGAATGTACAGCTTACTGTAAGACTGTCACACAGGTTCACTGTGTAGCTGCTGCTCTGCATTGTCTCATGGATTTCCTGGGGAACAGAAACTACACAGTAGTAACAGGTTTCATTTTACTGGGATTAACTGATGACCCCGTTCTTCGAATAATTCTCTTCATGATCATCTTTTGCATCTACCTGGTGACCATCTCGGGCAACTTAAGCACAATCACTCTTATCAGGGTGTCTTCTCAGCTCCATCATCCTATGTACTTTTTTCTGAGCCATTTGGCTTTTGCTGATATAGGCTATTCATCTTCTGTCACACCGAATATGCTTGTAAATTTCTTGGTGGAGAAAAACACAATTTCCTATCTTGGATGTGGCATCCAGCTTGGTTCAGCTGTTTTTTTTGGGACGGCTGAGTGCTTCCTTCTGGCTGCCATGGCCTATGATCGCTTTGTGGCAATCTGCAACCCACTGTTGTATTCCAACAAAATGTCTACACAAGTCTGTGTTCAGTTACTTGCAGTGGCTTACACAGGGGGTCTTTTTAATGCTTCATCCTTCTCTGCTTCATTCTTTTCTTTGTTCTTCTGTGGACCAAATCAAGTGAATCATTTCTTCTGTGATTTTGCTCCTTTAATTGAACTCTCATGTTCTGATGCCAGTATCCCTGCAGTAGTCCCCTCCTTTACTGCTGGCTCCATCATTGTGGTCACAGTGTTTATCATAGCCATTTCCTATGTCTACATCCTCATCACCATCCTGAAGATGCGCTCCACTGAGGGGCGCCAGAAAGCCTTCTCCACCTGCACTTCCCACCTCACTGCAGTCACTCTGTTTTATGGCACCATCACATTCATTTATGTGATGCCCAAGTCCAGTTACTCAACTGACCAGAACAAGGTGGTGTCTGTGTTCTACATGGTGGTGATCCCCATGCTGAACCCTCTCATCTACAGCCTCAGGAACAATGAGATTAAAGGGGCTTTGAAGAGACAGCTTGCTAGAAAGATATTTTCTTAGTGATGCATGTTATTTTATATGTTTTTGTAAAAAATATTATATAACTATAGCAATAAAAAGAAATTGTGTGTCTGTGATCCAAATGTATCAGTTGTATGCCATTCAGGTTGAGATTTACTTCTAAGTGGTGTACTTTTTGATATCAAATTTCAAATCAGAGACCCATGTTTCCTCACTTTAAAAATGTTGTGTATTGGTTCAATGAAAAAAATAACTAAATTATTTACACACAATTTTTTAAAAATATACCTGTAATTCTCTATGACTGAACCCATTTTGAATGTAGTTTATCTGAAAACATGTATAAGGAGCAGAGTGATAGTACAGTGGCAAAGGCACTTGCATTGCAAGTGATTCGAACTCAGGTTGATCCCAGGCACCACAAATGGTCTATGGCTTTCCAGGAGTGATCAAGAGCCCAGACCTAGGAGTTAAGCTTTGATCACTGTCAGGTGGGCCTCAAAATAAAAAAACCAAAACAAATAAATAAATAATAAAGTAAAAACAAGTGTGATAACTGTAGTTAAGCTTGAATATGTATTCAGAGAAAATAAGCATGTACAACCAGAGATAAAATTGGAGCAGGAAGATTATTTTTTTAGGGATGGTTATTTCACCTATATTTTGGTTCTTGGTCTTTGGCCCCAGTAACCATGTGGAGATCCTTAAGATAAGGATGACATGGTCTGACACTTCTGTGATATTAAAACTGGTGTGTTCTGGGAGATGCATGCTGAAAGTAGACTATAGACCAAACATGATTGCCACTCAATTCCTCTTTTGCAAACCACAGCACCCAAAAGGAGAGATAGAACAAAAGGGAATGCCCTGCCACAGAGGTAGGGTGGGATGGGGATATGGGAGGAGGGAGGGATACTGGGACTGGTGGTGGTGGAGAATGGGCACTGGTGGAGGGATGGGTGCTCGATCATTGTATAATTGAAACCCAAGCACAAAAATTTGTAAGTCTAATATTGTACCTCATAGTATTTCACTAATAAAATTAAAAATAAATAAATAAACAAAAAAACTGGTGTGTTCATCATGCTGGGGCAAAAGGCAGCTGAGATAGAGAAGGGACGACCAAGTAAATGATGCTTGGAGGGCTCATTTGGAATGGGAGAAATGTGCTGAAAGTAGACTATGGACTGAACTTGGTGGCCACTTAGTACCTGTATTGCAAACCCTAACACCCAAAAGGATAGAAGGAGTAAAAGGGAGAGGGGCGGGGGTGAGAGGGGGTGTGGGGAGGGTGGCAGGAGTGATATTGGGAACATTGGTGGTGGAAAATGGGCACTGGTGAAGGGATAGGTCCTCGATCATTATATGAATGAAATGTAATTACAGAAGTTTGTAAATCTGTAACTATCTAATGGTGATTCATTAAAAAAATAAAGATAATAATAATTTAAAAAACTGGTGAGTTCAGGGTCTGGGGAACTAGTATAGGGGTAAGGTGTTTGCCTTGCATGTGGTGGACCTGGGTTCAATCTCTGGCACCACATATGTCCCTTAAGTCTCATCAGCAGTAATCCCTGAGTGAAGAGACAGTAGTAAAATCTGAGAAAAGCCATATCTTAAAAACAACCAAATAATTAAACAAAATTCAAAAACCTGGTGAACTCATTGTGAGAATGAGCAGTTTCCTGAACTTCTTAAGGGCTAAATAGGACAAAGTCTTGGGGTCTTGTTCATGGTCAGGTTTTGATATTCATTCAGGTAGCTGGGAAATCAGAATTATGTCACTTCTGATATTGTGACTGCTCCATGAAGGGGTTTAATCAACCTGAATATAGGATATGTGACACTATTTAATCTCTTGTCCCACTTTAATGTTTCAGATGAAGTCTCTGGGTTTTCAACAGGCTTAAGGTCATTAATAATTTCGTTCACTTTTTTTTATTAATTCATGTACTTAAAGTTATGTTCATTTATTTCTATATTTCAAGGACTGTCAAAGATCTTTGGGAATTAAGGTAATAAGAAGCTAAACATATGTGCCGTAATGGAATTTATCTTATATTATAGGAAAGACAAACAAGGCAGTGAATCAAACAATTAAATGGAGTTGGTTCCTTGGAGAATAGACTAGCAGAACAGAGTAAGAGAGAATGACACGCTAGGGGAGGGAATGGTAATGTAGGTCTCACTAGGAAGATACATCTAAAACAATACAACTAAGACAGGAGAGATAGTACAGAGGTAAGGTGATTGCCTCGCATGTACCTTCAAACCCTAGGGATCAAACCCTAGTTCCCTGAGCTTCACCAGGAGTAATTACTGAGTGCAGAACCAGAAATAACCCTTGAGAATTGCTGGAAATGACCTCCAAAAAAAAGCAAAGCAAGAATGCAAATGGTGAGGTAACTCACCATTCATTTTTTGAATATGGGGTTACAGAGTTTAGTTGCTGGAGAAAAGTATGTTTGTGCAAATTTAGTGTTTTTTATTCCTGCAAATAATTATTTTGGGGCTTCTTGCCAACAAATGGCAGGATTGCTGTTTCAGTCTTTAAATCCTATGATGAGAAAATTAAGCACATGGTAGAATTTTAGATGTCTCGGTTTTATGCTATAGCTTACAGATAATCAGAAATTGTCTCACGAGGAACTGTGAGAACCAGAGAATCTCAAATATAATATAAAATATTTTTTTGCTCTGAGACAACTGGACAAGTCAGAATAAAATGTCAACAACTTAGGTTGTAAATTTACTGTGTTTTGGAATGAGAAAGGCATTATTTAAAGCCCAGAGATGGTCCATTTCATAATTCTGATTGGGGCAGAAGAACATAACTAAGCCTTATACAGATTTTTAGTATGGAGAACTAAAGAATTTCAGTCCTGAGCATGAATGTAAGTTGGCTAACTAGATAAGGTGACTCAGAGTGAAGTGTCTAAGTAAGAAAATGAAATTAAATATATCAAAATATATTGTTCCTTTAAGTATTTAAATTCTACATCCAGATTGAATTAAATATAATTATTTAAATACTATATGAAGAGTATGCTGGGGACATTAGTGGTGGAGAATGTGCACTGGTGGAGGGATAGGTGTTTCATCATTGCATGATTGACACTCAAACATGAAAGTTTTGTAACTGTAACTTGCAGTGATTCAAGAAAAGCTAAATAAATAAATAAATTTTTTAAAAGTTAAAAAAAAAAAACTATACCAAATAAAAAATAAAGACCTGGGTAAAGAAAATAAAGAGTGAAACATGGTTGTGGGAGAAAATTACAGATCACAGAAACAGAATTATTAAAGTTAAGAAAATTAATAGATACAAGCTATTCCTTTAGTTAAAAGATAAAAGACAACATGAATAACACAACAGTCATAAAAAAACATTATATAAGAAACCATAGAATTTCATAAGTGAAAGATTGAACATGCAATAATTACGTTAAGCACTTTGCTTTGCTAAACATAAATCTAGCAGGTTTTCTTACTGGATCCTAAGAGATAACAGAGGAAAGAAATTCATTTTAACTTAGAAGCCTTAAAAACATAATTGGAAGCAATATCTCTTATAAAATTGCTATATATATTACCATGGTTTTGGCATATATTTCTATTTACAAGAACTATAGTTTTGAGAGAAGCAAATGCATAAAACAATATATTGCTACATTTATTGTCCATATTTCAGGTACATTTTACAATAATTTTTGCTATGAGGCTTGATGCTTACACACAGTTGACAAGGAGCGATAGCACAGCGGTAGGGCATTTGCCTTGCATGCAGTCAACATGGCCCACCCGAGTTCGATTCCTCCGCCCCTCTCGGAGAACCTGGCAAGCTACCGAGAGTATCTCGCCCACACAGCAGAGCCTGGCAAGCTCCCCCTGACGTATTCGATATGCCAAACACAGTAACAGCAAAGTCTCCAATGGAGACGTTACTGGGCCCGCTCGAGCAAATCGATGATCAACGGGAGGGGAAAAAAAAAATAATGGAGCTATGGCACAGTGGTAGGGCATTTACCTCGCGCATGGCCTACCCGGCTGAGCCGTGTTTGATTCGTTCACCCGTCTCAGAGAGCCCAGCAAGCTACCAAGAGTATCTTGTCTCCATTGTGATGCTTGTTGTCACTGCTTTTGGCATATCGAATACATCACGTGTAGCTTGCCAGTTTTTGCCATGTGGGCAGGATACTCTCGGTAGCTAATTGGGTTCTCCAAGAAGGGCGGAGGAATCGAACCCGGGTCGGCTGCATGCACTACCCACTGTGCTATCGCTCCAGCCCACATGTAAACCTAGGTTGACTATATACAAGGCAAGCACCTTACCACCTGTACTATCTCTCTGACTCAGAGAGATAGTAAAGTATAAATTAGTTTATATTAATTAATTCTTTCTAGTATTAATGATAATTAATTAGCAGGTCTACGTCAGTGTTATTGATGCATATTGACCCTCTCACATGACAATAAAATTTAATAGCCATGGAAAAGTTTAAAATGCAGTTCTTAACTAGTCCAAATAATAAATATGTAATACTTTAACTATTTTTGTAGTATATTTAACGCCCTTTTCTTGAGTAGTGTGATGGACAAAAACTGATCATTACAATCAATACTACTGAACATATAACAGAAATATAGTGCATGTTTTTAGAACACAGCAATCAATCTCAGAAAATATTTTCTTTTGAGAAGCAATAAATGTATGCATCTTAGAAAATAAAGCTAATTTTAACTTATTTTAATAGCTTTTATAATTAAGTTCTCTAAATACTGTACTGAATAAAAAATTTATTAAAATTATGGCTAGAAAACATATTTTAATGTTTATATTATGTACATAAATGTCTATACATTCACATGTTAATATTTCTATGTGTTTATATTTTATATTAATTTTAACTCATGGATCAAGTAAATAAAATTAGAAAATAACTAAATCATAAGAAAAATTAATGAAAGAGGCATATTGAAATAAAAAATAAACCCTAAAGTTAATAATACTTATATTCACTTCGATAAGTAGAAAAAGT